ACAGCCAATAAAAACTAGGTTGTCCCAGACCTCCCAGAGGGCTTTCTCTGCAACCGCTCCCAGTCTTTGGAATGGCCTGCCGGACGAGATCCATCTTATTACTACTCTTGCTGCTTTTAAGAAAGTAGTAAAGATGGATCTCTTTTGACAGGCCTTCCCGGAATAACTGGCAGCTGAGAGAGGAGTCCCTAATTTGCTATTCTGACTCCTTATGCTAATTTGGATGTTTTAATTTATTTAATATTGTATTTTAATTGATTTGTTGTTTAATCCTGTTTTAAGGGGATGGGAAGGTGGGATTATGGGATGAGGGAATGTTTTAACTTTGTTCTGTTTTAATATTGTTGTACCCTGCCCCGATTGCCACACAGAGGGGTGGGCTATAAATAAAAATTTATTATTATTATTATTATTATTATTATTATTATTATTATTAAGTAATCTATGCTAGAAATGTGGTAAGGATGTGGGGACGCTATATCACTCTTTATGGATGTGTAAATTTGGTTAAGGGTTACTGGAGAAAGATAAATGAGATCATCAACTATATGTTGCAGATAAAATTACAGATTCGCCCAGAGATTTATTTGCTGAATATGTGGAACAAAGAATTAGACAAAGAATTTTGAAAAATTCTTCTTTATTTAATTACAATGACAAGATTGACATTATTACAAAAATGGAAATTAAAAAGTATTCCAAGTATAAGAGATTGGATAATTAAACTATATGACACAATTGAGATGGACACACTAATACACTTTCTAAGAAAAGGAAATGTAAAGGATAATTGGAAACCAGTTTTGAAATATTTTGAAGAACTGTGGGGAAACCTAGCAGTAACGGGCTACTAAGATTGGGAAAAAATGGAAAAGAAAAGTAGTTTTTTTTTAAAAAAACCAACAAGACTTCAAACAGATTGAATGAATAAGAGTTTGAAGATGTGGAAAGAGTGATGTGCCTATCATGACATGGATGAAACTGCATCCATACTCTTCAAGGCAATGATTTCTCAGAGCCTTGAGTCAAAGCAGAAGCCAATGTTATCCATTTAATAGTTACAGTGTATTTGTTGCTGTTGCAGTCTGTGTAAGCTGATGATATGTGCCTAATTATGACTGGAGCATAGCTTTGAAGCTAAACCTTTTCGTTTCCTCAAATAGCAATTTATTTTGCTTCATTTCCTTTGATATCAAATGTAATGACATTACATAATAGTTACATATTGAGAAGCCTTCTGAAAAAGATTTACTTGGGGTTAACAACATAGAAAGAAATTTTCTGTAATGCAGAGAAAATTATTTGGGATATACTATTTTAAAGACATTTAAAAGAGCATGAGAAACAAAGGGGTGAGGAAGATAACTGCACCAGAAAGGGGAGAACTTTTAGTTTCAAAATATATATTTCATTCCTGGTTACATTATGTATGTTTTATATTTATCTTTTCATCCCAATGGATTATTTTTGCCAGCAAATTCATTGGTCAAGCCACAAGTCAATGAAATCATTTCCTGAACAGACATTACAAACTCAGAGATAACAACACAGGAGAAAATTAGCCAAAGGAGCACTATAAGCATTTCAAAAATTCAAAAATTCAGATATAGCAGGAATGGTGTTACAGTATGTTGTGTGATGAGAGAAAACAAAATAAAATGAGAATGACATTTACTTGTTCTCCATAGATGCCCTTGTTCTTATGAGAAGTGACCAATTGAGTGGGATCATCCCATCTCCCCATCAGGCCTTACTTTCAGGTTCCTTTCACACTACACAATTATAGCATTGTGATTCCACTTTAACAGCTGTGGCTTCCTCCTGTGGGATCATCATGTTTTTAGTTTGGTGAGACACTAGAGATTTCTGGTTGAGAATTCCAAATGCTTCTCCCAGGATTCCATAGGATATTGCCATGGCTTATTTACACCATGCACATACTTGTCCAACATTCCTTCTTTGTCCAGGACTCAAGTGTTTTTTACATAGCCTTTGCTATTTCAAGATGGAGATTATCAGATGTGTAGGCATGTAGAAGGCCTGGTGGACTGAAGGAGAAAGGAAAGAAAAGGTTCCATGATGTGTGCCAATTCCATATTGGTGTCCTGGATAAAAACATTATTCAATACTTTTCCAACCACACAGGTAACTTATATTGGGTTGTGGTGGTAGACACCTTACTAATAGGTAAAGATTTAAGAATGCTACAACATCTACTCTGTTACATAGGCTGTGAAAACATGCATTTATTCAAGAGAGATTCCAACTTGAGAGCAATTGAATTGAAGATGAAGTCATATTCAGGCAGACCCTGTTTTGCATGGGTCCATATTACACAGATCTAGTTTTAGGCAAAGACCCCCTTCATACTGCTCATGCTATTTTGTGCTACTGAGTCCATTAGAACCACAGCATAAATATTCAAATATTCAAAAGATTTATTATAGGATTTTTGATACTTTGTTGTTGTTACATGCCTTCGGGTTGACCCTGACTTCTGACAAGCTTCTGATGTTCAGAGAGAGTGTAACTTGCCCATGGTCATCCAGTGGGTTTCCATGGCTGAATGAGGAACAGAACTCTGGTCTCCTAGAGTCCTAATGCAGCACTCAAACTACTACACCAGGCTGCAGAGGGATCTTATAGTACCTTTGAGGCTGAGAGAAAGAAGTTGGTAGCACAGACTTTTGTAGACTTAAGACTACTTCATCAGATGCATCTCTTTGCATACTGTTTCAGACTATGCTATATCTTTGAATACTGCACCATACTGGCTTCAATACTTTACATTTTGGAAGTTAAAGATATAGAATTATTCCCTGGCAAGGTTGGAAAGAAAAATATATTTAGACTGTGACTGAAAACTTATTATGCCTTATTTTTTTTAAAAAATAATCTTTTTTGTCATATGGTGGTGCATATGATGGTGTTATTTTGTTGAAGTAAACGAATACATTGGATTTTAAAAAAAAATCTCCAAGGATCCAGAGGTGATCAGTCCCATACAAATGGTGAGTCTGGCACTTTTGAAGAAGATCTCAAATGTTTCTCGACTAACTGGTCATTCAACGCCTTTTCATCAGCATTGGAAATTGACCCATCATTGCTCCGTCGTATAATCTTGGAAGTAAAGCTCTGAATGTTTCTTGAGTCATCAGAAGATAAACTGTTTAAGAAACCGTAGAAGAACACAATTAATGTCTGAGACTTCCTTTTCTACCACAGCCCTCATTCATTAATGCAACTGACATATCTGAAAACTGCACACTATTAGATGCTTTGGAAGGACCCTGCCCCCGAAAATCACTAGAGCATACAAAAGATTAAGAAAATATTACTTGACTAATAATCACTAACAGCCTAAGGACCAGCAACTGCTGGACCATGAGCTGCACCAGCCTGAAGACTGTTGCCAGCCAAGGCCTATCAGGGCAAGAATTGGGTAGTGATGGGGAAGGATTTAAATCTGATTTTCCCCTTCACCATTTTGGATTAAGCTGTGATACTGTCACCAGGTACTTCATAATTTCAATAATCTTGGAGGAAATTTGGGGAAGGGCAAATATCACCTATCTTTCTGCCTCTTGCCTGATCTCCTTTCTTATACATTGGTGAAGTTGTTTTGATGAACCATCAGTTCTGAAGATTGTTCTGTTGACCTGTTACCTGCTCAGGACTTCCTTAAGAGTGATACAGATGAAAAATGAGGCAATAAGGAAATGGTCTGTACCATTTAGGAATGAGGATAAGTGACACAATTTATGAATGCTCTTATACTTTTTCTTTAAAAAAACTGAGTAGAAAACTAGTACAGTAAGAAGTGGTGTGATCTAGAACTTTTGTTCCTGTTGAGTTTTCTTCTGGCAAAGACTCTCTATTTTAAGGTGAGAATTTGAAACAAACAAGCAAACAAACACAAATATGTGAAGTTGAAGGCTTTCATGGCCAGCATTCATAGTTTTCTGTGGGTTTTTTGGGCTATGTAGCCAAGTTCTGGAAGAATTTATTCCTGACGTTTTGCCTGCATCTGTATGTGAAATGTCAGAAATAAATTCTTCCAGAATATGGCCACATAGCCCAAAAACCCCACAGAAAACTATAAAAAACAAACATGCCCACCCCATTCATTCTGCAATGGTGATACCTACATTAAAAAAATGGCACTTAACTTTTCATCATTCAAATTGTGTAGAGCAGGTGTTACTTTAATTTTTACCACTGTATTTTACTTTCCTCCTGGCTCTAGCCCTGTAGACCATTTAACCTTTGCCGCGACTATTTCTCTTATAGCCTTCTGACTCAACGTCATCAACATTTTGTCTTGAAGGCATTCTAAATATCTTGACATAATGGACACACATGCCAAATTAATACATGCTGAGACCCTAAACTAGATCAGATTGATCAAGTCCTCTAGCGCTGATACAAAAATGAATAATATTATAATAAGTATATTCTCCAGTGCATTAGCCCATATTTTTCATCTGTAAAAGTATACAGAGGTAATTAAGACTAATTTAATCTCAATGAAATCTAATGTAATTGTTGTTGTTGTTGTTGTTGTGTGCCTTCAAGTCATTTCTGACTTGTGGTGAGCCTAAGGAAAACCTATCATGGGGTTTTCTTGGCAAAATTTGTTTAGAGGAGGTTTGCCCTTGCCTTCCCCTGAGGGTGACAGCATGTGACTTGCCCAAGATCACCCAGTGGATTTCACGGCTGAATGGGAATTGAACCCAGGTCTCCAGAGTCCAAACTCAAACCAGAGTCTAATGCTCAAACCACTATGCCATACTGACTCAAGTTAAATTAAATGTAATGTAAAGTGTCCAAACATGCTGCTCCATAGTGTTTTGAGACTACAGCTCTGCACAGGCTGAATGTGCAATGGTCAAGGTAATGGGGGCTATAGTCCAAAATATGTAGAGGATACTGGGTTGGAGAAGAGTGAATTTAAGCATAAGAAGAGAATTATTATAGATCAGACCTAAGATGTTTGCAATCTAGTCTAGAATAAGAATAGATAAATTTGTTGATCAAGGTTTCAGACCTCTGCCAGAATAATTACATGGAATGAGGAGGCAGAGGCAACAGTGGCTATGGTGATAAAACAAAAACAAAAAGGCAACGGCAATGTGAGAAGAAGATATGGATTGCAAGTTACCTTTTTCTGAAATGCTTGGCTTTGAGGGACCTTTGGTGCTGAGGTATTGTGGATGTATGTGGTTGGAAAGTCACCTGTTCTTCCTCTTTCTCCCTCTCCACTACTACTGCTCTATGGGCACGGAGAGTGAGTGCTGTGTTGCTTCAGCACCCTGGCTGTTATTTTCAGCAATATGTTGTTTAAAAACCTGTGATTCTGTTGCATTTCACACTAATCTGCAGTCAATAAATAAATAAATAAATAAATAAATATCACAATCATTTTCAAATCTGCATTCTAGTCTATATTCAAATGTCTATTTTCTTTCAAAATGCATATTTAAATTGACTTCTTAACAGGTTTAAACTACTAAGGTCCACATGTGGAGAAGTGCAGAACTGGATCCGAACATTATTCTCAGTGCTGTGTATCAGGTTATTCCACACAGGAATGTACAAACATCAAATTTATTAAGGATCTCTGCCCCTCAGATGTGTTTTTCATGCATCATAAATATGACTGGGTATATTGCCTGTGAAAAGTCCACAGGGGTACATGTTAGTTACATGACTGTTATCTTGTTCCCAAGTGTTGATGAATTTTTTTAATCATTTAATTGCTGTTTTATTTTTATTTTTAGCAATTTACACCAATAATCAAAATTACATTGGGATTTTATTTTTAAAATGAAAAGCATAATACTAATTGCTGCTTACTGTATTATGTGCCTTCAAGTCATTTTCAACTTGGAGACCCTAAAGCAAACCTATCATGGAGTTTTCTTGGCAAGATTTTGTTCAGGTGAGGTTTTCCATTGTCTTCTACTGAGACAGAGAGAGTGTGGCTTGCCCAATGGGTTTCATCGCCAAGCAGGAATCAAACCCTGGTCCCCAGAGTCATGGTGCCAATACTCAGACCACTACGCCACACTGGCTGTCATAATGCTAATACTTAAAAGTCCACACCAATATAATGGTAGACATTACCTGTAATTCTAGGTATGCATGTATTATTAAAAAGCAAACTAATAGCACTTCTCCCAGGTTTGTCCTGGACTCCAGAAGGATGCAGCAAACTCTCTCTCTCTCTCTCTCTCTCTCTCTCTCACACACAGATATAGACACAGAAGGGGATGATTAACAAATAGAGCTAACAAATATAAAATGAACAAAAGATTTTGGCTTCTGCCTTCTTCAGCTGCTTCATTTTTATGTTTATGTTTCCCAAATAGTTTGGCTAATTTTATAGTTTTTAGTTCTGTTTGTTAATCATGTCAGTCTATATCTGTCTACCTATTACTCTACAAATGACATACAAAGAGAGAGAGAAAAAGAGGGAGGGAGAAAGAAAAGTCACACAAAATATAAATGAAATATATCTATTCTCTCTCTAGAATATATAATCTATACATCTGTATCTATAGACAGAATACTCTCCCTCCCCCCACTTTCTTTCCAAGTCTCTGCAGGTACTTCAGCTCAGCTTGATCACATTGTAATTCACAAATTCTCCTTACTGAGATTCACCATTCACATGCCTGCTCACATGTTGTAAAGTTGCAATCACCAATGCAAAGCCCACCAGCCACTGAATGCTATTCATCTTCTTTTTTTCATTCACAGCCCATTGCAAAACAGATTAAAATAGTTCGTTTCTGAAAATGCAGCTCACACACCTAGGCAGAAAAATAAAGCTAGAAGCAAGTTTCCCTTTATGTAATGCTCACAGTTCCACTGCCTCACCTGCAAAAATCCCTCCCACTTCCTGGTCCAGTTGTATTTCCATTCTCCTGCCAGTTCCTTATGCTCTGCAGAACACTTTGCCAAAAGTTTTGCCAGAGTGCACCACAAGAAATGTAGCTTGGAAAATTTACTTTTTGAGACTACAGTCCTGAAAACCCTCTGGCATATGTCCCTAGCCTGTGTCTAATGTTCCAAAAAAAGTAACTTTTATAAGCACCAGATGTATCTGTATTCATGAGAAGACCCTAGACACAAAGGTTGGTATCCTAAGATAATGCCAACCAAAATATGTTTATGGAGTTTATTACATGGGGAAAAACTGGAAGTTTAAAATGGTAAAAACCTGTTATTAACTCACAATTGCACAAATGGTTTTCACATGCAAAGCACTGTTATTCCATCCAGAATCTGTGATTAACCCACACTTGCATGCAAATGCGCAATGGTTTTCACATTATGGGAGCAAATGTACCTCTATCCTAGTAATGATTAAAGCACGTGCATCCCACAAAAGCGAGCAAATGCGCAAATGATTTTCACGTGTAGACCGTGACAAATCTGTGTGTGTCCCTGCCTTCCCTCAGCAGCTGTTCCTTTAAGAACCCTGGCTATGGAGGAAGGTTGAAGCTGGAGACAGACAAACATACACAGGAAAGGGGCCATTCTCCTTTTCCTTGATATATTGATTTTATGCTTTAAGGAATTTTATAATATTTCATGTATTATTTTGTCATTAGATTTTTGTGGGTGTTTCAGGCTATGTGGCTATGTTCTAGAAGAGTTTCTTTCTGACATATCACCAGCATCTGTGGCTGGCATCTTCAGAGAAGATTTTGTCATTGTTTTCATGGTAGTAAAGGCACTGGATTACAGAGCTTATCACATGACTTTAAAAATCAAAATTAGCCTCCCAGGATGGAGCTGGGATGAAGCATGGAGGTGGGAATTATCACATTGTAATTCATTGCTGAATCGCAGGGCGACCACAGCCCAGGTCCCAGCCATGCTCAGCCATTTAAAACTTTGGAGCTTGCCAACTTTGAAAAAGCACTGGCTGAGCGCAGCTGGGACCCAGGCTGTAGTTGCCCAGAAATTCAGCAGCGAATTACAATGCGATAATTCCTGCCTCCATGGCGCATCCCAGCTGCATCCCCAATTTCGATTTAAAAGGTAATGCAATAAGCTCCTACATCAGATATTGGAAGATAAGCAGAGTCAACCCTAGTTAGTATTTGGATAGGAAACTGTCAATGAATAACAGGTACTATAGGTATTTCAGAGGAACTAGCAAAACCACCTCTGAATATTTCTTGCCTAAGAAAATTCTGAAATTGATGGGGTCACCATATGTCGACAGGCAACTTGAAGACACACACACATATAAAGGTAATGGTTTTAGTTAGTGGTATTTTTTTTATTGTTGCTTTTGTTCACTGTATTCTGTATTTCACTGCTTTGTAAAAACATATGTGTCAATATGCAAAATTCATATTGACCTGCTCACCAGCCTTGAGTCCCTCACCTACCTTAAATACAATTCTGGAATCCCTGATTATTTCCCTATTGGCTTCTATGGAAGTCTCAGCCAATATTTTGCTGTGTATTCATAGCACAACATTTGAAAGCATTCTACAACCCATCCAGAACTGCTAAATTTTAGATAGAGAGGACAATGCACCTCCAGTTCAAAACCAGTTAAGAGGGTGGAGTGTGGACAGGAAATCTTTTCCAAGTCAATCTTTAATCTGAACTGGGAAAGCATTTGGCTGTTTCTAAAGTTCTCCATCTTATTGGCAGAGTTGGCCCAGGACACTTTTTCTGCTTGAGGCAAAGAACATCCCCCCCCACCATATTACTTTTTCTAATGCCTTGATAGTCTTCAAATATTATCCTTACCATGACAGAGTGAAATTGCTTCACATGTGTGTTGGGCTGGAGAAATATTTCTGTGAGTATAAGAAAAAAGCCATTAGCTCATATATGAAATCAGAACAAGCAAGGAAAACAATATTCAGTTCAAAAGGTACTCTTTGAAGAATATGTTCCAGTAATAATTACTGACAAATATCATTAATTGGTATATAGACTGCCAAAATCATGCTGTTTCTGTTACATGGGTACAGTTGGAAGATTTACTAATCTGTGAGTACACATCAACTCTTGAAGGAAGTCACACTATTAATCTGAAATGCAGTACAGCATAGTATCAAATCCAAACCCTTTCTCAATACCAGGAAAGGATAAGGAAAGAGAAAACTGGGCTTCTGTCCTTTAATTCAAAGTGTCATGTCTCTCAAGTTTCCCTCTCTGTCAGACACATCTCTAATTGTGGATGCAGCCCCATTTCAAGAAGAGGAATTTGGGCTATAACCCAAACTCGTTTTGGTGGTGCAATCTAGATCTGAAACATGTAAAGCTGAGCAGTGTACAAGTTGACTGTCCTATCAAACAAGATTGAGCCCATCTTGCTTAGTTGCATTTATCCTGTCACAGTTGAATTTTTTTGTTTTTGAAAGCAAAGCATGTAACAAGCATCCCTGCTCTTTGGAGCCATAATATGTAGGGATGGAAAACAGTTTCTCTAACTTTCAAATGTTAAAGTCCTTTTGTTCTGTTCCAGTTTCGCTGGGAATTTCACTGTGAGTAGATTTGCTAGCCCACTAATAAGCCAGCATTGCCTGCAGCCAGCCATACAATCTAGGAAAGCCATCATAGGACAGATAACCCATGGCAAATTCCCCAACCCAGCATGGAGGAAATTCTTCCTAGAACAGCCCCAAAGCTGGCAGCAATTAAACACATGAGAGGGACACTACAGCAACACTGGTAGAAAACTCAGAGTGAGTCCAACTGAAAACAGGCTGAAATCTATCTTAAGGCTTATGGTGTGGCAATAAGGGTAGAACAAAAGTTT